GTTCCCGGAACAAGTTTTTAGCTGAACTGAAACTTATTCCTCCAAAACCCGAAATTTCTCCCGTACTCTGAGCTTCTAAATATATTTCTTTTGATGTGAATTGGCTTGTTTTTGTTTTTCACGTCCTTTACATATGATCTTGACATTTATTTTTGTTACTTTGGCGGTCGTAATAATCTATTATTTTGCAATAATTGTATAGTTTTATTGAAGTTCCGATTCCAGTTCGGACGAACTCGTGTGGACAGCATGCCTCGTTTCAAGGAATAAGTTCCGGGAACTGAGCAAGTTCGAGGAATAAGTTCCGCGAACTGCGCTCGTGTGGACAAGGCCTTAGATCTGATTGAATCAAGAGTCCTTTTTCTTGTCAATGTTTTCAAGAGTCTGGACTTTAGATCAAATGTGTTTCTCTTTCCAGTGCATGGTAATTCGGAAGGAGGCGTAAAAGTTAAGGGTGTGTTTCTACGAGACGCCTTAGAGCCACGCGCGCCTTTTCCCGCCGCCAAGTTTCTCTCGGGAGATAAGATCCGAGCGTTAATTAATAAATCGGATCGCGTTCGTAGATCTTCGTTTTTTAGCTTTAAAGAGGCACATCCGTCACCGGCCCACCGAATCGGAGCGAGGCGGAGAGATCCGAAAGGAGCGGAATTCGAAACAGTGGGCAGTGTGCAGTCATGACACTCTCCACCATCACTTTTACGCCCGTCGCGTGGCCGCGCGCCACCGACGTCAAATCTCAACCGAAAAAAGTCGAAGATAAGTCGACCGATAACGAAAATCGAGTATCATTAAAAATTTATCGACTTCAAAGCGCCTGCTGTCCTCTCTATTCTAATAAAATCATTTTTAAGACGCTCGATGGACGGAGTGAGGAAGGGAAGTAAGACGGTCGTTGCTCAGGAGGGAGGAAGGGGAGTTAAAAACTCAGGGGGAACAGTAAAAAATCGTAAAAATCTTAAACCATGGCTGCACCTTTCAAATGTCTATTTTCATTTTTCTCGCTTTAAAAGGTACGGCAAAGAATTGCGTCTGTAGATTTTTACAATTTTTACTGATTTTATCCAACTGAGGAAGGCTTGGTTTTAAGTCGAGACGTTTTGGTGGTATTTCTGTGAAAATTAGACTTGTTACCCGCTGTTTAAATTTTTATTAATGTATATCTTGTCATGGGCTGCGGAGTATCAAACATATCTCATAGACTATTATGGTCCAGTTTTTTCTTTCCTTTTTTCCGAAATTAGAGGTAAAGAGGAGAAGGTATCGTAAGAAAACTTTGTGAATGATGGAGAACAAAAGGAATTTGAGTATATTATTATTGATGTACAATAGGAAAAAGGAGGTAACATGCATTTTTGATTCTCAGGTCTTAGAAATTAAATAAATCAATATATGGTAAATTTTTGCCCGAACCATCGTTAAATGTTAGAGCCGAAATTTAAAAGGAATATGGATCAGTGGGTAATAATCCACTTTCAGTTGGACGTAAAAACTCACGTTCAGTTGGACTGCATAAGCAATAAACATGTCGTTGTATTTGAAAAACACAGTTGCTGTCGCTCTACGAGCTTCGATGATGATCAGTGTTTTTAATCTATTGGTAGGTATCGTCCATATAAAGTTCGCCTTCAGTTAAGATGCATAGGCAATAAACATACCGAAGAGCACGCGAAAATATCAATAAATCTCGCTCCATAAACTTCGCTAAACCGAACCAATAGACCACGCGTAAACCTATTTACAGATATCGTCTACTTGAGGCTCGCCTTCAATTTCGTCGGGTAGGCAGCAAACAAACCGGGGAGCGCGAATAGTTGCCTAATCGAAAAGCACACATTTCTAGCGCTCTATGAACTTCAATGAATGACGATGTTTTCATCCTTTCAGTAGGAAGCGTCCACTTGAAGTGCGCCTTCATTTATGCTGCATAGGCAACAACCGTACCGGGGAGCGCGAATAGTTATCTCCTCGAAGGAGACACAATTGTATCGCATCGCTCTCGGAGCTGTTTGTGCCTATCGAGTTATCGACGATGTTGTTAGCCCACTGATTTCTAGCATCATGCGTCTTTCTTGTATTTTTTTCCTTTGACCAAATTTTTAAACGAATTTTAATTCCAAAGAATAAATTCCTTAATCTGGTTTGAACCTGGGCTAATTTTGAAGGACCTCTTATTCTTATAACAAGAGAATTTGGCAGTGCTCATTTTTTAGACCAAAAAACAAATCGATGGCTAGAGCGCAAAACCAAGTATCCCTGGTAAAAATTGGCAGTAGAATCTGTGTTCCAAAATACCATAGACCCGCAGCCGGCTGTAAGATTTCCAATATCTTCTATAGCCGGCGACACAATTTCTTAAAGCCTTTTATAGCCGATGGCGATTAAGCAACAGCCTGGCGATAAAGTGTGTGCTAAACGTTACTAATTACGGATGCTAGGACATAGTGAGTTATTTTACTACCGCTCTCTTTTTGGGCCGCAGTATCTTGATTTAATTTGCGAGGAAAGCTCAGTACTTTTGAAGGATACCTGCCAATCCTAATATGTTGGAGCGCCTTCAATTTCGTATGATACTGTGCAATACATCTGGTGTGAAATAGTTGCTTCAAGCGCCGCGGTACGCTGCGGCGCGGCGGGCGGGCAGCCAGCACCGAACGCGCATTGGCGCCTACAAACCTAACTGGGATACTTCACGCATTGCGCAATGCGTGAAGTATCCCGGTTAGGTTTGTAGGCGCCAGTACGCCGCTTTGTGTTGGGCTCTGATATTTAATCTCGCGGAGTCAGCGTTTTTTAACTCATGACTTTGAAATGTTTGTACACTCTGTATGGATTACTCTCATTTTAATTGATGAAAAAAAATATGTAGTAAAGGAAAATATAATGTGCGTTTTGTAAATATTAAGGTGATTCCACACAAACTTAAGGATTTACAAAGCACAAGAATTTCTACACAATTTCTTATAGCCTTTTATAGCCGATGGCAAAAAAGCAACAGCCAGGCGATAAAATGTACCTAAACCCCGGCGATAGGAACTATAGCCCGGCCGTATGATTTTTTCCGCTTTCTACAGCCAGCTATATGATTTTCTATCGCCCTCTTCAGTCGGCTATAAGAACTCCCATGGTACTTTGAAACGCAGCTCCTATCGCCAATTTTTACCAGGGTATATACCTCCGTTGTGGTGATTCAAAATCTCCGCTCCTAGTTTATTTTTTTGAAGAGAAACAGGTCAATGGTATATGGTTTAGATTTACAAAATATATTTTATTAACAAAGGAGAAAAATCAAGGAAGTTTTCAAGAAATTACGTTGACTGGTTTTTTAAGGAAAAAATTAAGTTTGGCCAACGTCACAAACGGAGATGCGTGGTCTCCAGTTTGGCCATCGAAGTGACGTCGTAAGTTTTAGTCTATTCCAATCGGAACCACTTACTTATGTTACAACGGAGAAATTCGACAGTGACCAATTGGACCACATTATGCAACAAGGAATATACTATTTCTAGCTCATTTTAAAAATAACACGCGTGCCATAAATATCCCCGTGCAGATAGGTGCTTTTATGGATGAGCCATGAATAGTGGTTCCTTGTTGCAAAATGTGATCCAATTGGCTGATAATCCTTGGATTCCAGGCGCTGGTTTGGCAAAGCGGCACGCAGAGCTTAAAATCTCAACGGCTCGTACAGGAATTGCGCACATTCTAATTTGTTCTCAGGTCGCCAAACAGAATCTTTTCCACTCGCTGCGCCTGCCCTTGCACTGCCCGGAACGCACACGGTCATCATTTTTTATCTCTTATTTGCGCTCAGGATCGACCGAAAGAAAGTGGTTCCGGCGATTTTATTTATCCTTTATTTTTTTTCGCCAAGGAAAGCATTGTTTTAAGCGGCAGAAAGGTCATTGTCTGGGACCACTTTCGCTGGCAGACCCACCGTGGGGGAGGGAAGGGGGGACCAAAAGGACCTACAAAAGTATGTAAATTGACGGTGGTTTGATACGCCGCTGGAGGCTGCATCGTGTAGGTGCCGCACGGAGTTGCCAAACGTGATGAGTAATCGAGTTTTTTACGTGCGTATGTATATGAGGAATTGAAGAGAACTTTTGGTGGTATAGTGTTGTGGCTTCGCACGATATGTCAAACCTGCACCCCAATGTAGTATGTGATGTGTGCGGTAGTGGTGGATGCCGACCGCAACGCCAAGTCCTGACGCAAGTGCAAGAGTCAGTCATGATCTTGGAGAAATTCCTTACAGTTACGCCGTTAGAACCGGAACTTTTGATTTTAAAGGGTAATTAAATTGTCTTCCGCCCACTTCCGTGCAAAAATTCTCAAGGGCAATGGGGTTCTCCGGCGGCATTCAGTCCCCCTAGCCCCACCCCCACTCTAGCCCACCACAAGGGTTGCAATTTTTCATGAAAAATAAAATCTTGTTTCATGTGAAATGTTTCATGAAATTACAGAAAAATATGAAAAATATTGAAAAACATTGAAAAATATCTCTCGAAATTGAATGCAAAATTAAGTGAAAGGCGGCTGGTTTTTTATTTTTGGTGTTTTTTGTGCGTGTTGCATACCCAGCCCCTCAAAATATATTTTACGCGTAAAGATCCTTCCATATCTCTTTTGTCTTCTTTGTCTATAGCTTTGTCTATGAATTTCAATAATCGGCCCGCAGCTATGCCAATGGTATTGGTGGACACCTGACTAACTACCATACGGGGTAAAAAGCCCCCAAATCGAAAAGCCTAATATTCGTTTGGACCATAAAACATGTATCCGTTACAGGGGCTACGCCTCCTGATTGCTTCGCGGTCCTACCCCCCGAAACGCCCCTCAGGCGTTATGCGTTACGCTTTACTCTTATGATTACGGCAGACGGGCTCATACTTAGTTTGAAAAAGAGGGAAAATGGAGAAAGAACGGGGCACGAATGGGTTAGTTCGTGTCGAGGTGTGAAGAAAGTTATCACAGGTTTACAGGTTAGAAAAAAACTGAGATGATTGAATGTATGTTTTTTTATTTTTTTATATTTTAATGATATGGTAATTCAATATCCGGAGAAAAAGAAGAGGTAAGTGGTGTTTAAATCCCGTTAGTATCACAGCAATACTCACAAGTTGCGTGAAACCGCTCTTGGTCTCTGGTCCCCGGTTTACAGTCCATCTCGATAGAATTCGGTTGAAACAACGTAACTGGATTGTGAGCAACTTCAGACGGCTCGGCGATCTCGTTCAGTATCAACGCCTTGCATTACATTTGCTATACCACACGCGTTTGAACCCATCTTAAGTCTAAAGAAACCTTTTTCTCCCCAATTTTCACCCCAGCTGTTCTTGAAGATCCAGTAATTGCCTGCCCTCTTGTCCGTGCCGTATCCTACTCCAAGAACTGCATGATTTAGCATTCGTGGCATTGACGAGCAAAACATAGGCATCATAATACCTTTCTTATAAAATTGCATGTCGGTTGCGTCGATAGCATTTGATGATGGTCCGTTTACAGCAATATGCCTGAATAAGATGGAGGAAAAAGAGTAAGTTATCAACCATATGGAATATGGATTGCATTTTGCAAAAAGGAACCAAGAGCATTCCAATGACGCTAAGACTGAGCAACTTTTTTTCCCTTGCAAATATTACTGCACACCTGAACAAGTTTTCTTTTTATTCTCAATTAACTATGAATTCGAGAAGAAAATTACCTTGGTAAATTTAACTTTATACGTGACTTCATCAGTTATTTGACTGCAAAGAATGTAAGTTGCACAATTATAGCAACATTGGAGTGCTCTTGGTTCTTTTTTGAAAAATGCAATCCATATCAGGTACGGATATATGATTCAGCGGTGTCGTTATTTTTACTATATCTCGGGTTAATGAAGATGGGGCGAACTACGGAAGATTTTTTTTCAAAATGCACCAAAATTGACTGAATTTCTTTTCAGAAAAGTCAATATTTTATCAGAGCGCGGTGCTGATAACTTCCCCCACCTCGCAATGGAAAAGTAATTAATTCCCTGTGATCCATCAGTCAAGCGCAGAAGATAGCTTTGTAGATGCAGCCGGCGCGGCGCTTTATGCAGGTGAAAGAAAATCATGGGAGGCGGTAGCCACCTCCGGACAAAGTCTAAACTTGACAACGGCGGAAGGCGTCCAAACAAAAAAGGTGGCAGCCAACCATAGACACACGTAACTCCCTTATTCTGGAAATTGATTCAGTTCTAATAACCATCACAGATTTCAAGTGGTCAACCAACTTATATTCGATCGCTAAATCGAGTGTCTGAAAAACAGCAAGAAATGGTCTCTTTTTGGGAAACTCTTTGAGGGCATTTTCATCGGCGGATCCAGCGAATTGGCAACATTGTCTTTCTCCATTTAAAAATATGGAAATGTATCGATTCTTGGAGGGCCAGGTGCTCCGACAAGAATCGATTATTTAGCATAGGTTTAAATGGAGGAAATCCTGTGTTGCCAAATTGCTCCGCCACTGGGCGTTTTCCTCAAATAATTCACTTTTTAAGCATGACGCCCTTAAACACTGAAAAAAAACCCCCGGCCGTAGGAGCCGTCCTTACGGGCTATATAGGCATACCGTTCGCGTTCCGGGTTCAGAGGCCGAAAATTCCGGGCGTAGAACCCGGAGCAATCGAAGCTTCCGGCTCCACCCTACGGAACTATCGGCCTCTAAACCCGGAACTTGAACGGTATGCCTATATAGCCCGTAAGGACGGCTCCCACGGCCGGAGTTTCTTTTTCAGTGAAAAATTCGGTCTATTGTTACATCATACTTACTGTTTAAGTGCACGTTCATCGCGCGGTTTCATGTTGATGATCTTTGTGACCTTAATACCGCCATCACCATCTTCACCTCTCTGGACCTTGCAGCTACCATCCTCCCCGGTGTACGGATAGGACGCCTCCGTCCTTAAGCTATTGTTCATGAGGTATTTAAAAGCATCGTCCATCCATCCTCCATTACATCCCTGCGTCAAAAATACCACGGTGCATTTAGTGTGCAGTACAGCTGGTGTAATCAACTGGGGAAGAGGAGGGGCGGGGGCAAATGGGCTGCGGTTCATGTGGCGGCGACTTTTAGTGCGCAGCAAATTTTAGGAAGTGTTTCTACAAGTAATTATTCTTTTTCTTTTTTTACACAGAATTGCCCAGAAAAGGAGGCTCAGTAAGATGCGGCTCAAAATTGAGGCAATTGCCCATGCACGTTTAGGAGTTTCTCTACATGAGCACCTTGCACAATGGCACTTTCAAATATTGACAGTGTAAGTCGGCGATCACATACTTCCGTTTGCGACGTCGCAGACTTCCTGTCATACTTTATTTTTTGAACGGAAAACTATCAGCAGCATTTCTTTCAGACTGCAGTGATTTTTCTTCTCTGTGCGAAGAGAATTCTGCACAAACTTCAAGGAATGATGTCAATCTGCTCTTTTTTAAAAAACAACATAACTCGGTTTGCGACGTAGCAGACTTCCTGTCATACTTTATTTTTTAAACGGAAAACTACTCAACGGTAATACCTTTAAACTGCCGTGATTTTTCTTCCCTGTGCGAGGAAAATTCAGCAAAAACCTCAAGGAATGATGTCAATTTGTTCTCCTTTAAAAAAATAACATAAAGGCGAAGATTTTCAGACACCGCAAACGAGATATGTGATTGCGGACTTACGCCGTCGATATGCTGTTGCTTGGGGTAAGACGTGCAACGATTACATACATAGACGCGCCGCAGCCCGTGACAAGATATACACTTACTTTTTTATTTTTTTATTTTATTTTATTTTTTTATTTTATTTTATTTTTTATTTTATTTTATTTTTTTTATTTTATTTTATTTTTTTTATTTTATTTTATTTTTTTATTTTATTTTATTTTTTTTTTTTTTAGTGTAACAGTTACACATACTCCCATTCTAAGTGGAATTATGGGTAAAAAACTCGAATAGGTACATGTAGGAAAATTTATTTATTTTGATACAAAAGAACGTGAGGTCTTGAGGACCATACTTACTTGATTTGATTTTGTGTCACAGTCTACTAATTGTTGTTCAGATCGTCGGGTCAAACTGTTGTTCTTAATGGCATCATTCGACTCGACTGCTCCCACAGTGGAGAAGGCCCAGCAAGAACCGCACTGTCCCTGGTCTTTTGGTGGGGCAACTTTACCCTCCTCGAACCAGTCCTTGGCATTAGGTATATCCTTAATTTCCTTTGAATACGTCAGAAAATTTTCTTCTTCCACACTGAATCAAATTTTAAAAAAATATGATTGTAACATAAAGACCTTAAATTAATTTTATTCCCCTAACGAGAAATGTTACTGCGGAGTGGGAGACTAACGTTCGATACTACTTTTAGAGGGATTTTCTCAAAATGTTTATTATTTTTACGCAGGATTCCGAAAATTGAAGTAGGCATTAATAGAATTCTTGAAAGCTGAACTTTTTATAGAATTTTGATTGAAAATTTAAGCTGTCCCCCATGTTTACGAAAAATATATTCCGTAGCTGATGATGTAATAGCCTGGGTTTAATTAACTATCTTATTAAATATTTGAACAATTTGACCGACAAAACAGAAGGGAAATGTTGGTGATTTCAATTCAAAGATTTTTGAATAAACTGTCAATTTTGATACAACTTTTGATACATTTTTTTCTGTGAAATATCTATGATCGATTCACACTAAAGGGCTTTGGTGGTTTAGGTGGTTTTAGACGGGGAAAAATCGATCGGGGGAAAATCGATCAGGGATAAGAGGATCTAATTTCGAACTTTTCGATGGCGAGCGCTTCCTACTTCTCTGAAGAATATTGGGTCAAAATTTCAAGCCATCATTTACTTTAATTATAGTATTGTTTTTTCTAGTGAATTATTTCTGAAGCTGACAACAATGCCGGCAAACTTCATCCATGCTTTTCTAAAATTCGCGATTCATCATTCCCCAAATATAACGTGCACTAATTTAGTCGATTTTTAAATCATTTTCGCGCTGTATTCACGCCGAATCAAAGGCTGAAGTGCAAAACCGCGTATCTCCATCGCAGTGTTTCGAAATTTTCGCTTATATTTTATTTCTCGAAAAGAAACAAGCCAACTTTATTGCTTGAAATTAATACATGAATGTCCTGCTTACAGCGAGGAAAAATCAAGGAAGTTTTCAGGAAATCACGATGGCTAGTTTTCCGATAGAAACATATAGTATGATAGGAAGTCTGTAACGTCGCAAACGGAGATACGTGATTTGTACTTAACCGCAAGCGCCCTTTTGCCTTTCTCGGTCGTATTCAATGTCAAATAATTCAGCTAGATGGAAACTTATTTATTTCTGAGTGTTTGAAAAATCCAAATAAAGAACGCCTTTAATTGGGAGCATCTTAAAATGTGACAATACCGACTAACAAAATTGAACATATTGTAAAAATCTGGAGAGCATTGTTAGAATGAGCGAATTTGATAATGACCCTTGATGCAAAAATGCAACAAGAACTCGACATTCTGTCCTCTAACCCCCCCCCCCACCTCTCCCAAAAAAAAAGAAATAAAATATGTACTTATGTGATACAGTAGGGTAAACTGTGCCTACAGTTGGAAACTATAGTTGTTCACCGCAGCGGAAAACCCCGTTTAAGGTAAAAAAAATATCAATGTATGGTTTTCAATGCTGAAAACGGTTTGAAACTCTGAAAAACAATTGGCCAACGTTTTTAGGCATTATATACATTACTAATGCTGTTATGAGCGTTTGGAGTGAATCCAGCGCGGAAAAATAATCTTCGGTCTCAAACTTAGACACGAAGTTTTCTTCTCCGTGATCCTGGGACTGGAAAACTTAAACACCAGTATTCTCGAATTCCCAATTTTTCGTTCTTGAACATCGAATTTCTGCCTAAAGATCAATTTTTGGGTGTTCTTTGCGCGCCTGGTGCTGCAAAGTAAACCCCTGTACAGGCTGCGGTATATTTTTATTTAATTTTGTTTTTTGCCCATCTCAAAGCACATTTTTCCATGCGCCGTCACAAAGCTTAAAAACTGATCTTACCTTTTCAAAAGTTTTGCGGAGTCCAGATTGGCGCGCCTCGTCAAGAACTCCTCCTGGGTCCAATCAGCCATCTCGTTAACGCCGTATTCCGCCGTTCCCTGCTCCATCTCGTTCAACATGTCGATTTTCTCCAGGTTCTTCGCGAAGACGTGGAACCGCTCCAGCGCCTGCGTCGGCGACAGATACTGCCTGCCATACTTGTTGCGGAAAGACTCGAACTCCACGAAGTTCCGCTCCAGCTTTTGCTCGGGCGAAAGAGAGACGCGATTCAACCCGCGGGCTTCACTGCCGGCACCACACGCGATGAACGCAAAAGCCAAAACGAACACGGGGACCATTATTGTGGGAGTGGAGGAGTCTGGTCGGGGTTCGGTTTCCGCAAAAAGTGAGGAAACTCGATCGGCGACACATTTTTATAGGGACGGAATTATCTAGCGCCCAGGTATGTTGACGCACGAGGGGGCACTTCAGAGGCTCACGCAGGAACTTATGCTCGGAACTGTGTTTTCGTAGAATCTATCCGGGAAAAGTAGCGATGCTCTCGACTCTCGAGAAATGAGCTTGTGATATTGTTTGTATGTTTTTCGAGGAAAAAAAATCTATTCCCTATCTTTATTTTACGATTTGTTTACCGAGCCATCCTAGTAGCGCTCGTTATAAACTTGGACGTGTTTCTACCAGACAGAACTATGTGCAAGCGGGAAAGATGGGATGTGCTCGTTAGTCGAGGGCCGTGACAATGAGTGGAATCGTAAAGATCCCGAGGGATTACCTCATGAGTCCTGCCCGCAACGCTCTGGACACAAGCCCACGGCTCACAAGTTCTGCACTGAAAAAAAAATCTCGGTGTATTTACTGAGAAAAGGGTAAAATTACCAAGAATTCAGGGTTCTATTTGATCCCAGTTTCTTCTTGGTAAAATTACCATTTATGGGATTGGTAATTTTACCGAGAAATCTCGGTAAAATTATTGAACTTTCTCGGTAATTTTACTGGACCTTGGTAAGAACGCCAATATTTTTTTATCGATTGTGGTAGAATTACCGAGATAAAATGGCAAAGTTGCCGGGAATTGATTACCAATAAAAGCGGTATTCTTACCTGGAAAAAACAGTAAAAATACCGGTATTTAGGTAAGCTTACCAGTCTGTCTTGGTAAAATTACCGATAATTGGTAAAAAAAGCGAGATGGTAAAGGTACCAACGGACCTTGGTAAAAAAGCCGAGAATTTTTTTTCAGTGTGCCTACAGTTAATTGGCACATAGTTCCGTTTGCTGAATTGGAAAAGTGGGATTTTACATTCTGTCAAACGGAACTATGTGCTAACTGGATGCGGGACTCATGAGCCGTGGGTATACGTCTAGAGCCTTACGGACAAGGCTCATGAGTTAATGGCTTCGGGTCGTCACCCTTATAGAGTCGATCGACGTCGCTGGCACTTTATAATTCCCATCCATTCTTACGGCTCCGTACTAACAAGCACACCCCATCTTTCCCACCTGCACATAGTCCTGTTTGGTATAAATACATTTAATTAATAATGATCTGGAAAAGGAAATCGCCGCGGGGACCCTTTGGGAGGCTTGGGGAGTATTCTCAGTGGCCTCTTGGCCTCCCTAACCAGTCCTCTGGGGTCTGCCTGCCCTCCCAAAAATCTACTTGGCATCTTCCAACAAATGTTAGAAGTCTTAGTAAATAACTTCATGACATATCTTTCATCTTTGAAAATATATTTCAATCGATTTTTCCGGTATGAAGATCTTAGAGGCGCTCCTCAGACGACTCGATTTTTCATAATATTCCCAAAGTGGCCCACCAGACCCTTCTTGAGAGCTGAGGGAGGTCTCCGGACCCCCTAAAAGAAGTGTTCTCCTAGGCTCTTTAAAACGCTCTCGTCTCCTCTCACAAAAAGTTCCTAGTTCCGCTTTTAGTAAACAGCAAAATTTACAGCAAACCAGCCTAAAAATTTGCGTGGAAATGTGGAATTTCTGCTAGAACCTGAAATAAAGTATCGAAAACTCTTAAAAGTGCAAGCTAGGTAGCATGTTCACGTAGGCAAAGGAAAGAAAGTTTTCCCGATCGGTAGATTCTGACAGTTTTTCAGGCATTTCTTCCCTTCTAAATTTTCCCATTTTTTTAAAACTTTAATTTATTTGGCAAAGACAGAAATTAGAGGACTCATTGTAGCATTGAAAATTTGCATCAAATTTTTGCATACGTAAAATAACTAACCCATCATTTTGAAATGTATATCATTAGATCTAGCTGTCATGTTTCCTGGATGCATGATTTTATGCGAACATAAATTTTTGCTCATGAAATTGTCTCCAATTTTCCATTTCGCTGAATTTCATAAACGTCGTCGATCTTCTTGAGAGAAAGGAACTGTCTTATGTGAGTGTTTTTATCATATTATAATCCTCTTCGAGTGATAGAATCATAGGTAAAATCTGGCCGTTTACTTTGATCGCCATTTCTCATTAGCCGTGGGTTGTACCAGGAAAAATAAAGACAAGTATAGAAGTGCAAATATTGCACTAAGCGACAGGGCTTCTTGTCGACTTGAGGATGCACTTAATAAATTCCTTTTTTAACGAGGAACACGACGATTATATTAGGAAAGCTCGCTATCTACCCAGAAGCAATGGAAAAGTTTTGAAGTGTGAGGATATAGAGAGAGTGCCTTCCTGGGCTCTTCCTGGGGGCAAAAGGGGGCCGGGGGCTTCCTTTAGAAAATATTCGAAATTTTGAAGTAACTATCATGCAATTTAAGCCGATTTCGTGATGAATAATTGCCAAATATAAACGTCTTTCCTTCCTTTTCCCGCCGTTCCTTTCTTCTTACTTTCTTCCCTTTTTCTTCCCTTACGCCCCCCTCCCTCTGGATCCACGTATGGTGTCATCATCCTAGTATTTCCATTCTCTCTTTAATATTGAATTTTACTCACGTGCATGTGGTACACACGAATCTTAAACATTTCAAGAGGATCTTAACGAGATGAGGGCTATCTAACACCTTGTAGTTACACTACTCAAGTGCCCATTGGAATCCTACTAACATTCCGACGATAACCACTTCAAATATTGACGTCTTCAATCTCCGCGGGAACAGTGGTGTGGCGAGCTTTGCAATGCATCGATTGATCTCCCATTTAACAACATGGAAAAGGATCGATAAACAGTGTTTCCGCAACGAGCACCTTAAAAATCGATCTTTTACCACAGTTTCGAATGGGGAAATATCGATTATCGATCGTTCTCTTCTTGTTATTGCGCGAGAAGTGAGGTTTTTGAGGAAGACTCGGATCAAGGAGTACAGGGTCCGGCTGGTTTTGCGGTGATCGAGTTGTTAAAACTAGTCCACTCGCCCAGTATACGGTATACCTTCATTTCGTGTTCTTTCAAAAATGTATGTTGCGCGTGTTAATCTACTCCTGCGAAGTTACGAATAATTGTAAAAACCTAAATGTCATTTGATGAATGGGAAATTAGAAGGAAAGTACTAGACTAAAAGTATTTGTTATTTTTTTCTCCGATCATTAAAGTGTTTTTCATTTCATTCAAAAAAATAACTTTCACTTCAAGCTTCACGTGAAATGATACGGTGTTTTTTGGAGATTTCTCGGCACGAAAAACGAAGGGGTTCTTTGAAGCCAAGGCTCTTAACTTTTTGGACTTACGCCTGTCTAATAGGATTCGATTCGAATGTGGTCCGAGTAGTATTTTTCGGGAAACTCGTCGGCCCTCCGAAACAGCACGCCCTTGCCAATTTGCACCGATAATTCGTCTTCGCAAGGAGTTAGTGGAAATGTGAGGAAAGAGGAGATTTCGGGGGTCCTGGCGCGGGTGGCCGAAAGGAATCACGTCCGATTGCGTGACGTGGCCGTGTCGTCGCGTCACCGCGGTAACTCGTTGTCGTTAGCCGCCGAAAAACGTCCCAAGACGGTTGCGGCTATGTAAATACACTCCAGGACCGGGACGGAATATGGGAATCACGGGAGCAGAGGCTACGGACGGAGAGGGAAAGAACTGCCGTGCTAAGGAAGAACGCCGTATCAACATTCGAGTGTTGCCAAATTTCCTCCGATAAAATGTTTATTTTGTAGGAAAGTTACGATTATTCTTCCTTGAAATTTTCAGGCACTGCAGATATAATTGCACACACAATTATCTGAGAAATTGGAGGAGAGATATTCACGAATGAACTAAATTTTGCAACTTGGAACTATAAATTCTATAGCCCGATTTAAAAACGACGTATGTGCCACTAGTTTCCCTACGCCCATACGTGTTTTCCCAAAAGAGCCAGAATTTATAGTTCCAAATTGCAAAATGCAGTCCAAATGTTCCTGAAAATTAGTGATTTGCCTAAGGAAATTTGGCAACGCCTGACGGCTCATACGGTGTTCTTCCTTAGCACGGCAGTAGACTGGAGGAGCTGTGAGAAAATGTGAAACGCGTTCGCGCCGGCTTGGTGCTCCCAGGGAAGCCGGCCGGCAGCAAGGTTACTCCAAAATCCACCACCGGCGTTTTTGCGATGCGCCGCTGCCCTTTTTTTTTCGATATGCATGAATTAGAGGGTAGTAATTAGTAGAGTATTAGTAGAGGGCACGAATTAGTATCGTAACTTACGGGAGTGAGGTCTGGCAACTCAAGAAAAGAACTGAAGACATGCTTAGGGCAACCGAGATGGACTTTTGGCGAAGGTCTGCTGGGATATCGAGAAGAGAGCGTATCCGCAATGAAAAGGTACGCGAGATAATGGGTGTGGAGAAGGACATCGTGCACAATATCAGGTCCAGGCAGTTGGTCTGGTATGGACAAGTGCGAAGGATGGCAGATGATCGGTTGCCCAAGCAGGTCTTCGATTGGGCTCCTCCCGGAAGGCGACGGCGTGGACTTCCTGGGAAAGGTTGGCGACAAGGGGTGGAGGAGGAGATCAGAAGGTGCCAATTGCCTGATGATCTCTGGGAGGATAGGGGGCAATGGCGCGATTGGGCGTCGCAGAGCGCGAGGCGGCGCTATAAAAGCGGCTTTATGTATATGTACGAATTAGAGGGACAAAGAGCCTTGGGTCGCTGTAGTGGCAGCGTGAGAGCTGTACTGCCGTGCAACGCAAAAACGCCGTAAACGCCATTTTACATTTTTTGGAAACAATGTATATTAGCAGAAAAACTTGTGTACCTAGGGACAATGTTTATACAGAATTCTTTCGCAAATACCATCAAGAACTTGACCTGAAAATTTGGGGTGCATAGGTAGAACAGTTTTTATTTTATAAAGCGTTAAGTTCCAAAAAACGAGGAAAAACCTTGATGGATTTACGGCGTTCTTGCTTTGCACGGCAGTATAACTTGGGGAGGGGGTGAAATTAAGGAACACGAGAAGGGGCGGTT